GTGAGCTCTCTACCCTCCCTCCGTCTCCTCTCCCTCCCCCCCTACTCCCTCCTCCCTCCCACCCCTCCTCCGCCTCAGATCCCCTGGAGGAGGACGGCAGGTGAGCGGTGCGGTTGCGGTTGCGCGCCCGCGGGCGGGTTAAAATGTGTCGCCCAGTTGGGGTTGCGGTCGCGCGCCCGCAGGCGGGTTGAAATGTGTCGCCCAGTTGCGGTTGCGCGCCCGCGGGCGGGTTGGAATGTGTCGCGAATTGCAGTTGCGGTTGCGCGCCCGCGGGCGGGTCGAAATGTGTCGCCCAGTTGCGGTTGCGGTTGCGCGCCCGCGGGCGGGTCGAAATGTCGCGTAGTTGCGGTTGCGCGCCCGCGGGCGGGTTGAAATGTGTCTCCCAGGTGCGGTTGCGGTTGCGCGCCCGCGGGCGGGTTGAAATGTGTCGCCCAGTTGCGGTTGCTGTTGCGCTCCCACGGGCGGGTTGAAATGTGTCGCCCAGTTGCGGTTGCGGTTGCGCGCCCGCGGGCGGGTTGAAATGTGTCGCCTCGCGGTTGCGCGTTGTGTCTTGCGGTTGCGTGCCCGCGGGAGGGTTGAAATGTGTCGCCGTGCGGTGCGGTTGCGCGCCCGCGGGCGGGTTGAAATGTGTCGCCCAGTTGCGGTTGCGCGCCCGCGGGCGGATCGAAGTGTGGCGTCCAATTGCGGTTGCGTTGCGCGCCCGCGGGCGGGTTGAAATGTGTCGCCCAGTTGCGGTTGCGCGCCCGCGGACGGGTCGAAATGTGTCGCCCAATTGCGGTTGCGGTTGCGGCCCGCGGGCGGGTTGAAATGTGTCGCCCAGTTCCGGTTGCGGTTGCGCGCCCGCGGGCGGGTCGAAATCTGTCGCCCAGTTGGGGTTGCGGTTGCGCGCCCGCGGGCGAGTCGAAATGTGTCGCCCAGTTGCGGTTGCGCGCCCGCGGGCGGGTTGAAATGTGTCTCCCAGGTGCGGTTGCGGTTGCGCGCCCGCGGGCGGGTTGAAACGTGTCGCCCAGTTGCAGTTGCGGTTGCGCGTCCGCGGACGGGTCGAAATGTGTCGCCCAATTGCGGTTGCGCGCCCGCGGGCGGTTTGAGATGTGTTGTTCAAGGTGCCCTCGTTTGCAGGCCTATAAATGGGCACCAACACCAACACAAGGGGTTGCGTACACATGGGAAAGATGATCCGAGATTTCGGTGTTGGTGGTAACATTTCGGCCACCTTGGAGGCCAGAATATTACCACCATCACCGAGATCGGGATCTTCTTCCCTCGATGGATGCACACCGCCGATCTTGGTGTTGGTGTCAATCTCTAGGCCTGCGACTCTTGACGTTCAGTCAGTCAATCAGTCAACCAATCAGTCAATCAATCAGCCAATCACCGGCGGGCACGGAATTTCACCCGGCTCCGACAGGAATCACCAACAAAACGAACAAGGAGACGAAACATCAAGCAATATTCGATATTATTATCAAGCGCAATCAGAACATCGAAGGACAATGGCGGCGCGAAACAAAACGGACAACGAAACGAAGTGCAGAATGAAAGGGGCAAACAAACAAAACGAAAAACGAAACGCAAGCTTGGAAACGCGCCAAAACAGAACGAACAACGAAACGCGCGCTCCCCCAAAACGCTGAAAATTCAGACGCGCTTGAAACAAAAACGAACAACACAACGGAACAACAACGAACAACGGCACGGAAAACACAACAAAGGCAGAAACCAAGGTAATCAACTTTGTGCTCGGTCCTTGCATTTCTGCGGAACGCCCGCCTGCCCTGAACCAACATGAACACGCGCCAGCATGAAGAGCGCGCGCTGTATGATGCATGCCATACAGGGCTCCGCGACACCCGAGAATAGGTTTTCACGAACGAGCCAACACAGAAGCAACCCAAAGGTAACTCAAAGAGATGGCCCCCATTGATTCCCGAGACGCCCCGACGCAGACTCAGAATCCCGGCGCACCGCCAAAACCGTCAGGCTGTCCAAGCGGGGTGGCCCAAGGGGCTCTCAAGAACGCTCCGACATGGCCCGACAGACAAGTACACCACCGAACCTGACGAATGAGCAGGCGAGGCCTGCGGGCCTGAACTTGGAGCCCTCAATACGCATGGGCCATGGGATCCAATGGGATGTATGAGCCCCAAGAGCACTCAACGCGGCCACAGAGGACTCCAGGCCTTCTCGTAGTCGTCGACCTCTACCTCGTCCTTCACCTCCTCCTGCTGCTTCTCCTTCTACCCCTTCTGTTCGCTGTCGTCGTCCGAAAGCACGCCTCCCCGTCCTGCCCCAACCATCGTCCTCACTCCCGCCTTCTTCCTCCTGTCTCGCCCTCCTCTGTTTACCCTCCTCTGAAGCTGGACAGGCAAGCTCGTGGCCACCAGCTGTCGACAGCATGCTGAAGAGCAGGACAAGGGACGAAGAAAGCGAGGAGGAGAAGGAAGAGGAGGGATAATGTAGAGGCAGAGGAAGAGGGAAGAGTGGGAGGAGAAACAAGACCAGAGTGAACGTAGCACGCGCCAACCAGGAGAGAAAAGCGAAGGGGAATGAAGATGACCAACCAACCAAGCAGAAAACGAGTGAGTCGCTTGGATTTCTTCAGCCACAAGCGCATGGGTCGGCGCACGGCTGAGAACCTCCTGGGGCTATCGCTATGCTGCTGGAAAAGAAGCCGCGCGCTTGGACTGAATAATCCAATCTGGCCTCCAAGATGGTACGAGATAGCTGCCGAAGTTAGGAATACGAGAAAACACAAAAGCAACTCGCCGCTTGGGCCACATCGCCAAAATTTCGCCGTAAATTGCTCACTCGGCCGCAGGGTATAAAACTGCCTGCCATTGGTTGCGCTATCGGTTGCGCGCTCGGCCGCCGAGAGTAAAACTGCCGGCTACTGGGTGCGCCATTCATTGCACGCTCGGCCGCCGAATAAAACGGCATGTTTGGTTGCGCCATTGGCTGCGCTCTCGGCAGCCGAGAGTAAGCACGGCCCTCTATTGGTTGCGCCACCGGTTGCGCGCTCGGCAGCCGAGAATACAGGCGAACATATGATCAAGCAACAAGACATCTGGCCCAACCTCCCCGAACTTTCTTAAGACAAGCCTGGGCCACATGTTCGTGTTAACGCTGGAAGGGCGAACGCACTCAAGAAACTGGGCCAGCTTTCCGGCAAGTTGGTTAAGAAACGTTGGCCCAACTTTTCGGGAGGAAATTTCTTAATTACATCCTCGACTGTAAAAATCGCCTGCTACTTGGTTGCGGTACGGGTTACGAACTTGGCTGTCGATAACAACACGGCCTGCTGTTGGTTTCGCCACCGGTTGCGCGACCGGCCGCCGAGAATCAAACGGTCTGCTATTTTGTTGCGCCATAGATTGCGCGCTCGGCCGCCGAATAGAAACCAACCTGCCATTGGTTGCGCCATCGGTTGCGCGCTTGGCCGCCGATTATCAAACGGCCTGCTACTTGGTTGCGCTATAGATTGCGAGCTTGGCTGCCGATACCAAGTCGGCCTGCTATTGTTTGCGCCATGGGTTGCGCGCTCGGCCGCCGAGAATAAAAACGGCCTACTGTTGGTTGCGCCATGATTTGCGCGCTCGGCATCCCAAGGCGGAACGGCATGTTGCGTCATTGATTGCACGTTCGGCCGCCGGAAATATAACTGCAACCAAGCGGGCGCGACCAGTCAATCAATCTATTCAGTCACTTACCTCGCGAAAAAACAAACCTAGACTACGTCCAAAACGAACATCAAGTCGGCAAACTTGCGTCCGCACATTCCCAAATGTCATCACTCATTTTGCTGATATCGGCGCCGCGCGCCCGAGCTCAAGTATCAGTATGCTGCTGGGACAAGTGCCACGCGATTGAGCTCAGGGGCGCAAGATGGCCTCCAGCATGGCGCAAACTAGCCCAAATCAGGACTCCCCCCCGAAAAAATCGACAATCCATCTTGGACCCGCTTATGCCCTTCCATTCAGACTCATGTTGCAGTAAAGTAGCGCGGTGTGTTCGACCTCAACATAGCCCTCACGGTGACACTTCATAGCACCATAGCGGAATGGAGACACCATAACAATTCAACACGAAAGTTCGGACCCGCACATTCCCTTACATGACGAATCATGGGGCTGGAAACATGTTCACTTGTTTTTTGGTGACGGCGTTGTTTAAAATGATTGTTTGGGGAGGCGCTGCTGTTTTTGAGCGCCTCGTGGCGTTTTTGGTCATGCGCCTTGGGTGGTGTCTAGACATGGCACCACAAGCAATCATGAAACCACCTAAAACCAATCCGATCGGGGGATGGCACCGCATCGCCGATGTACCCGCGACGGTGGGGCGGACTCCAGATCGTGCCGCAGCTCCGATACATCGGCGATGCGACGCAACCCTCCGACCCCATCTGCAGCCAAGATGACAACAGACGCAGCACCGAACACAACACGAAGCCCCGTTATGGCCCCACTAGCGCCTTGGAGCGCTGGAGGAGCGACCATGGAAGGACCAAAATTATGCTGATCCCGTCGAACTTAAGGAATTCCCAAGACTAATTTCGAGCTCCCGGAAAAGTGTCGAAACAGTGTCGAGACAGTGTCGGACGAGTGTCTCCCAGGGCCCGACACGTGAAAACCGTCGGGTTTCGGTATCTGTTTGGTGCTCGAGATTCTCCTTCGCGATCAAGGCTGAAGCAGGTTGGAACATCATAAGACCAGGTGAGCACTGAGCCTCCTGTAAACCCGAGCTGCTCCTCACCTGCGGGACTGGAAAATGACCACAGCCACTGCTTCTTGTTTGCGCCGCCTTCCAGCCGGCCGAAAAAGGAGCCGTGGCTGTGGTCATCTGCCTGGTGCCACGCTCAAGGAAAATGACCACAGTCACTGCTTTGTTTCTGCGGGCTGGAAGGCGGAAACAAAAGACAAGCACTGGCTGTGGTCGTTTTCACGCCCCGTAGATCACCCCGGCGTCTCCTGCTGCGCTCTCGGCCCCATTTGCGAGGCCTGGGCCTGTCGGCTCGTAGCCCGGGTCGCCCTCCAGCGCGTCGGCAAGGTCATCCTGCACGGCTTCCCCCTGGGGCCGTAGGCGACCCAAGGAGGAGGAGGAAGAGGAGGAGGAGGAGGAGGAGGAGGAGGAGGAGGAGGAGGAGGAGGAGGAGGACGAGGGGGAGGGGGGATGGTGAGGAGGAGATGGAGGAGGAGGAGGAGGAGGAAGAAGAGGAGGAGGAGGAGGAGGAGGAGGAGGAGGAGGAGGAGAAGAGGAGGAGTAGAGGAGGAGGAGGAGGAGGAGGAGGAGGAGGAGGAGGAGGAGGAGGAGGAGGAGGAGGACGGGTCGCCTAAGCCCTTCGGAGAAACCCTCCAAGTCATCCTCCCGGAGCGACCTGGCCTTCACCAGCAGCGACGCTACAATCGTTCGGTGGCTGCTAGAAGTGACTTTGGTCCACGGCGACCCCAGCATGGCGCACCATGCTGCTGGAGCCCCTGGGGCTCTCCGGGCCTCGAGAGTGGTGCTCCGGAGCCCATCCCCAGATGTGGGCCCCCAGAAGACTGGACCCATTCCCTGGAGCTCTGTTTTTCATCCCGATGTTTTTTTGGGACGGCCCTGGGACCCCAGGGGCCGAAACCTGCAAACATCTTCTGTCTTGCTTTTTCTCACGACGCGAGGGGGTCTGGGTCTGGGCCTCCTGGGAAGAGCTGGCGGCACCTTAGGCCAAGGTCACCTCTGGCAACACCGGGATCGGCCACACGCAGGAGTGACCCTAGGCAAGAGTGACCTTTCGTGCGCAGATGAAGGGGGCGCAAGGTGGCCAAATCCAAGCGCGCAAGCAGCCGCGATCGCATCGATCTCAGCGATCGGGGGGGCCCCCGGTGAGCCCGCACCAAAAATCACTCCGGCGAAGGGTCACTCTTACGTGTAGTCGACGGGATCGTGGCGCAGACATCGCAGCGAAGCTGGGCGGCCAGCGCCAGCGCCTCGTCGCGGTCGGCGTCGGTGGGCCTCCGATTGAACATGTGCTTGTAGCGAAAGAACTCGCCGCTGGCTCCTGAGGGGATCGAGGGGGAACATTACCCGTCGGTCGGAAGACGTAGGTAAAAACATGAAGTAGGTAGGCGTTGGAAATAGATTGGGTTTCCGCCCGCCCCCTGGAGAGGAGGGAAGAGGGACAACCACTCGACTCTTGAAGTAGGAAGGCACCTGAAGTAGATCGGAATCTGGAAATCCAGAAAGATCTACTTCCAACGACCGACGGGTAGGGGGGACCAGCTCAGGGAGGGAAACATCGAGCTGTACGCTCCTCGGCGGGGCGGGCTATGGGGCCACCATCGCCGATCAATGGGCGAGTCCCACCAGCCCTCTGGGCGTAGGTGGTCTAGAACAGATCCTCTTCCACCCCTCCCTCTTCCCCCTTGGGGAGGGGTTTACCCCTCCCCCTACCCCCTCCCCTGGACCTGGACGGGGGGGGCCGCGGGTAGTTAGAGCGTCCCAGATGGCCCAAGACGGCTCCAAGAGCGCCTCAGAGAACCCAAGATGAGCTCCAAGATGGCTCAAGATAGCGCAAGATCGCTCGAGATGGCTCCTAAGATGGTTCCAAGAAGCCCAAAGACGGCCCCAAGATAACTCCAAGTGGCCAAACAGCTCCCCAAGGAGGCCCCGAAGAGGCCAAAATCGTCCCAAAACCTAAGGAAAATCAATGATTTTTGCTTTCTCGCCTTTTCGCTTCCGATGGCCATCCGAGGCCTGGAGATGGCTCCAAGATGGCCCAAGAGGGCCCCAAGAGAGCCCCAAAAGAGCCCCAAGACGGCCCCAAGAGCGCCCAAGAGCACTCCAAGAGCGTTCCAAGAGGGGTCCAAGAGGCGATTTTAGGGGCTTCCGAGGGGGGGCGCTAATTAAACCCCCCCTCTTGTTTGATCGACTCCCTCCAAGATGGCCCCAAAAGCGCCCCGAAGGCTCCCCAGAGCGCCTCAAGAGGGTCCCAAGAGGCGCCCAAGATGCCCCAAGGCGCCCAAAAAGCCCTCCAAGAGGCCCTCAAAAGACCCCCAAGAAGCTCCTTCCCCTCCTCCTCCTCCTCCTCCGATTCTTCCTCCTTCTCCGTCCTCCTCCTCCTCCTCCTCCTCCTCCTCTTCCCCCTCCTCCTCCTCCTCCTCCTCCGACGACGACGACGACGACGACGACTCCTCTTCCATCCTCCCCCTCTCGGGGTCTGTGACAGCTTCCCCCGCCCTTTGTTATTCTGCATGCTCCCCGACTTCCCTGATCACCTCAACTCCCCTGAGCATCGTTTCTGGATGGGCTGGTGGGGATACGCGAAGCGTCAACAATTGGGGATCGATGCATCCCCCCCTGAGCAAATCCCCCCTAACGTTGCCCCTGACTGAGGAGGGATGTGGGTGCCGAACGGGTGGATGGTTTTCAGAACGTGTGTTACTGCCAACGTGTGCTTGTCCACCACACCCTTTGGATGCGACGCAGGCGGTGTAAATGAGGGCCGACACAGGCTGTGCGCTACCAGAGGCGCTCAATGAGGCTGGGCTAACAAACGTCCTGAGGATCATCGAATTGGGGAGGGCCTGCTCGGGAGGCGGAACGAAGACCCAGCATCGACGATGCATCTCCGAGGGATCGGCGACATGCCCCCGGTGGGGGTTCTTGGGCAGGCTGGGGCACACAGGACCCGATCGGCAAGGAGTGAGCGATTGGGGTCGATGCTTCCCCCCCGAACCAATCTCCCCTAGGTATGAGAAAACGCCCCCCCCGCCCCCCAAACTCAGGCAGAGGGGGAGGGGATGAGGTGGAAAGAAGACTCGGCCCTGCGCCCAGTAATAATCGTCAGAAGGCGGAACAAGGCTCACACATCCCAATTAGTGGGCGTTTTTTGATTCGGCGTTTCGACATTGGGCGGAAGGGGGGGGGGGAGGGGGGAGGGTTTGGCTCCGACCCTCTGCTTAGTGCGACTGTTTGCGACAGTGCGTCCTATGAGGGGAGTCTCCCCCTGTCTGCAACAGGCGCCCAAAACAGCCAAGATCTGCTCCACGGGGGGGCGGGGTGGAGGGGGGGGGTGCGAGGGCCCGCGCCGATCGGCAAAAGAAGGAACAGAGAAGACGCTCACTATCGTCGATCCTCGAGCATCGATGGGGCAATCGTGGGAGGAGGGACGAGGAGCAGGAGGAGGAGGGAGGGGGAGACGGGAGGGCACGGACTCGATCCGCCCGAGAGCCTCGGCTCGCCGGGCCTCGCTCCCGCCAGGGCTTGGCTCGCTCGGCTCGCCGATGCTCCCTTCGCCGGGGCTCGGCTCGCCCGGCTCGATGCGCCCAGCCCGGCTCGCCGAGGCTCGCTCCGCTCGGGCTCGGCTCGCCGGAGTCTCGTTACGCCGGAGCCTCGTTTCGCCGGAGTCTCGTTTCGCCGGAGTCTCGCTTCGCAGGAGTCTCGCTTCGCCGGGGCTCGCTTCGCCGCAACGGGCCGAGAAGTCTTTCGCCGGGGCTCGCTCCGCCGGGCGCGTGAAGGATCCAGAGGGGGAGGAGGCGGAGCAGGCGGGCGGACCCCGTGCCGGGCGGGTCGCGTCGGGCGGGCGGACCCTGGCGGGCGGGTCGGGTCGGGCGGGCGGAGCACTGATGCATCATCGAGTTCGCACGCGCGAACACTATCGGGCGGGTCGGGTCGGGTGGGCGGACCCTAACGGGCGGGTCAGGTCGGGCGGGCGGACCCTAACGGGCAGGTCGGGTCGGGTGCGACATGAAAGTACGACGCATCATCGAGCTAGCACACGCGAGCCATAACGGGCGTGTCGGGTCGGGCGGGCGGACCCTAACGGGCGGGTTGGATCGGGCTGGTTGGATCGGGCGGGCGGACCTTAACGGGCGGGTCGGGTCGGGCGGGCGGAGCCAGGCGCATCGAGACTCGGGCGAACTGAGCCTGGGCGAATCGAGCCGGGCGAATCGAACCCCGAGCGAATCGAGACTCGGGCGAATCGAGCCCCGGGCGATTCGAGCCAGGCGAATCGAGCCCGGGCGAATCGAGCTAGGCGAATCGAGCCGTGCGAATCGAGCTGGGCGAACCGATCCGAACGAGCCCAGGCGAATCGAGCCGGTCGAATCGAGCCTGGCGAATCGAGACTCGGCGAATCGAGCCGGGCGAATCGAAGCTCATGCGAATCGAGCCATGCAAGCGAATCAAGCCGGGCGAATCGAGACCCGGGCGAATCAAGCCTACGCCGACGGGAGGAGGAGTATAGGAGAAGGGAGGAGGAGTAGGAAGAAGTCCCGAAACGCCCCTAAACCTTGATCCTCGAGGATCGATGAGACGGATGATGATGAGGAGGAGGAGGAGGAGGCGGCGGAGGAGGATGAGGAGGAGGAGGCGGAGGAGGAGGAGACGGAGAGGGAGGATAGGGAGGAGGGGAGGAGGAGGAGGAGGAGGAGGAGGAGGAGGAGGAAGAGGAGGATGAGGAGGAGGAGGACTGGGAGGAGAAGGGAAGAGGAGGAGGAGGAGGAGGAGGAGGAGGAGGAGGAGGAGGAGGAGGAGGAGGGGGGATGGGGATGACCCCAGTGTAAAATCCAAGAGTCATCAACGATATTGGAATTCGCCGGCCCAACGGGCCAAGGGCGTGCTAAGATCTCGGGTAACTGGTTAGCAATATTCTAGTTCGCGCGCGCGGGGCCGCCCCTGGGGGTCCCCGGACAAAAAGTACCCCGGGAGACCCCCGGGACACCCCTGGGACACTCGGATCAGAGATGCCAGACCGTGCAATTTTTCGACACCCCTCACGAGGATCGTGGCCTCCGAGGGGAGGGGCGCAATCGACGACCCCCCCTCCTGACCCAAGAGGTCCCCAAGAGCCCCCCAAGAGGCTGCAGGGGCCCCCAAGACGCCGCCGAGGAGCCCCAAGAGACTCCCAAGAGGCCCCCAAGAGGCCCTAAAGAGGGCTCCAGGGCCGGCGGAATGAGCGAAGCGATTAAATAAACTCTCCCTCGAAGCTCCTTCTTCATAGGCCCCTACGGCGGTTCATTTCCACTGAGGGAACTGCCTCGTTGGAAGACAGCTGTTTGAAGACCCTGAAGAATGCCAAAACATTGCCAACGCCACGAATCAACCTGCGTGTTGCGTCTTGACGATCCAGAATTGTGCTAGAACGCCATTCCTTGGACTTCAACATCGCGAATCAACGTAGCTGTTGCACCCTCATAATCCTGAATCCTTCCAAAAACTGGTACGCTGATCATGGGAAGACATGAAACTCTTGCAATGTTTAAAACGAATGTGCGCGGCGCTAAAGCGAGAACCACATTTTGAAAAACACCCGCCCTCCATCCGTGACGCTCTTGCAAATGTTGGCAACGAATGTGCGCGGCGCTAAAGCGAAAACCACATTTTGAAAACTACCCGACATCCATCCGTGAAGCTCTTGCAAAGTTAAAAACCGAATGTGCGCGGAGCTAAAGCGAGAGCCACAGTTTGAAAACGGCCCTCCCTCAATCCGAGAAGCTCTTGCAAATTTTTGGCTGCGAGTGTGCGCGGCGCTAAAGCGAGAACCGCATTTTGAAAACCACCCGCCCTCCATCCGTGAAGCTCTTGCAAAAATTAAGCCCGAATGTGCGCGGCGCTAAAGCGAGAACCACGTTTTGAAAACGGCCCGCCCTCAATCCGTGAAACTCTTGCCAAGTTTAAAGCTTCATGGCCATACATTGCAAGGACATCTCCGGCGAAACGCCCGGCACGCCCTGAAAACTGGCCTCGGGGTGCGACAGGGAAATGCTATTTTAAAGGAAAAGGAATGGAGGAGGAGGAGGAGGAGGAGGAGGAAGAGGAGGAGGACGAGAAGAGGAGGAGGAAGAGGACGACGACGAAGAGGAGGAGGAGAAGGAGGAGGAGGAGGCGGAGGACGACGAAGAGGAGGAGGATCGGGGAGAACTGGGGGTTGCCAAAGGTGTCTCTGGCCTGAGGCTTCCTCAGTTTCCCACGCCACTCTGGAGCCCCATTCGGCCCCCCTCGGCCTCGTGAGGGTTGCCCTGGGGGCCTCCCTGGAGAGCCTGGGGACACCCTGGGCCAGGGGCACATGTCGGCGGCAAGCCCAGGGGAGAAGTCAGAGGGGCAAGGTTTCTCAGAGGGCGGCGGGGCTTCTCAGAGGCCCTCCGGCCTTCTGAGAAGCCGTCTTTGTGTTCGGAGAAGGCTCCGAACACTTCTCAGAAGGGCCTTCCGAGCCTTCCGAGAGGGCCTGAACCCTCTCGCTTCCCCCCTTGGCATCGCCGCCGAAGAGTTGACGGGGCAGGCGAAAGGACGGGCCAGCGAATCGTTATCCGTACGTAGCTGCGTTTCCGGCGACGGAGGCGACTGGGCGTCGAGGAGTGCCTTGCGGCGGAGCCCAAACCAACTGCATGCCGTTCGGGACGACTCGGGCAGGCCCCAGCGCACTCTGCGAAGCGCCGCTGCTGAAGAGCACCCCGAGAAGCTCGAACCTCGAACTCGCCAATTTCCTCGTCTCGTCTGAACCGAGAGGATGGAGGAGATCGGGGGGGACCATGAAGGGGGGGGCTGGCCCAGAGGGGGGAGCACCGACCTTGAATTGACGAACCATCGCCGACAGATCAGCGACAGGACCCCGATAGCAAAACCGCAGGCTTCTGGGCGGGGTGGGCTTATCAGGCCCCTATCGGCAGAGAGTGGGCCATGGGGGGTCGGTGCGCGTGCCCGCCTGGGCCTATCCTCCCCTAACGCTGCCCCTGGCGCACATGTGATCTCTTCGAGCAGGCCGGCCAAGCTCTGTCTGATCGGTGGAACTCCTCGAGAGCTCGTCTGTCTCACCGCCGAAATTCCCGCCGCTCCTCCTCCTCCTCCTCCTCCTCCTCCTCCTCCTCCTCCTCCTCCTCCTCCTCCTCCCTCCTCCTCTGCCGTTGCCCCCGAGGAGAAGCAGGACGCGCCTGCGATCATCCCTTTCCCCGGCTCGGCCAGGCCCTCTGCGCCCGCGCCCGCCTCGGCCACGTGCAAGACGTGGCCCCCGGGACCAGGCAGAGGGCCTCTGGCGCGCGGCGTGCCGAGAGCGCTGCCTGCGGTGCGGCGGCAGCGGCCCGCGTGCTCGGGGCGTTGACCCCCTCGGCGGTGCAGTCGGGGCGTTGACCCAAGGAACGTCAAATAAGGAGCGAGGCCAATTTATGACCTGACAGCGAAGACTGATAGGTTTCTAATAAAGTCAAAAAGAAGATCATGACTCCCCAAGGGGGTCTGGGCGGCATCCGGACAGGGATCCGCGGAAGTCGTTTTAAGCAAAGAGTTACACACTTCGTGGTCTTCGAGGTCCCAGAACTCCACTCCCGGGCCACATTCTGAATGCCCGGAGCCAACTGTAGGCCACTTCGTGCTCTTCGAGTTCCCAGAACTCCATTCCCGGGCCACATTTTGAATGCCCGGAGCCAACTGTAGGCCACTTCGTGCTCTTCGAGTTCCCAGAACTCCATTCCCGGGCCACAATTTGAATGCCCGGAGCCAACTGTAGGCCACTTCGTGGTCTTCGAGTTCCCAGAACTCCATTCCTGGGCATGATTTTGAATGCCCGGAGCCAACTGTAGGCCACTTCGTGTTCTTCGAGTTCCCAGAACCCCATTCCCGGGCCACATTTTGAATGCTGAGGCAGACTGAGGCTGAGGCTGAGGCAGGCTGAGGCTGAGGCAGGCTGAGGCTGAGGCCGAGGCTGAAGGCAGACTGAGGCTGAGGCTGAAGCAGGCTGAGGCTGAGGCTGAGGCAGGCTGAGGCTGAGGCTGAGGCAGGCTGATGCTGAGGCAGGCTGAGGCTGAGGCTGAGGCTGATGCAGGCTGAGGCTGAGGCAGGCTGAGGCTGAGGCCGAGGCTGAAGGCAGACTGAGGCTGAGGCTGAAGCAGGCTGAGGCTGAGGCTGAGGCAGGCTGAGGCTGAGGCAGGCTGAGGCTGAGGCTGAGGCAGGCTGATGCTGAGGCAGGCTGAGGCTGAGGCTGAGGCTGATGCAGGCTGAGGCTGAGGCAGGCTGAGGCTGAGGCCGAGGCTGAAGGCAGACTGAGGCTGAGGCTGAAGCAGGCTGAGGCTGAGGCTGAGGCAGGCTGAGGCTGAGGCTGAGGCTGAGGCTGAGGCAGGCTGAGGCTGAGGCTGAGGCTGATGCAGGCTGAGGCTGAGGCAGGCTGAGGCTGAGGCTGAGGCTGAGGCTGAGGCTGAGGCAGGCTGAGGCTGAGGCTGCTGAGGCTGAGGCTGAGGCTGATGCAGCTGAGGCTGAGGCAGGCTGAGGCTGAGGCCGAGGCTGAAGGCAGACTGAGGCTGAGGCTGAAGCAGGCTGAGGCTGAGGCTGAGGCAGGCTGAGGCTGAGGCTGAGGCTGAGGCTGAGGCTGAGGCAGGCTGAGGCTGAGGCTGAGGCTGAGGCCGAGGCTGAAGGCAGGCTGAGGCTGAGGCTGAAGCAGGCTGAGGCTGAGGCTGAGGCAGGCTGATGCTGAGGCAGGCTGAGGCTGAGGCTGAGGCAGCTGAGGCTGAGGCTGAAGCAGGCTGAGGCTGAGGCTGAGGCAGGCTGAGGCTGAGGCTGAGGCAGGCTGATGCTGAGGCAGGCTGAGGCTGAGGCTGAGGCTGAGGCTGAGGCTGAGGCTGAGGCTGAGGCAGGCTGAGGCTGAGGCTGAGGCAGGCTGAGGCTGAGGCTGAGGCTGAGGCTGAGGCTGAGGCTGAGGCTGGCTGAGGCTGAGGCTGAGGCAGGCTGAGGCTGAGGCTGAGGCTGAGGCTGAGGCTGAGGCTGAGGCCGAGAGACTGAGGCTGAGGCTGAGGCTGAGGCTGAGGCTGAGGCTGAGGCAGGCTGAGGCTGAGGCAGGCTGAGGCTGAGGCTGAGGCTGAAGCAGGCTGAGGCTGCGGCAGGCTGAGGCTGAGGCCGAGGCTGAAGGCAGACTGATGCTGAGGCTGAAGCAGGCTGAGGCTGAGGCTGAGGCTGAGGCAGGCTGAGGCTGAGGCTGGGGCAGGCTGAGGCTGAGGCTGTGACTGCGACTGCCGTTACCACTGCGACTGTCATTGCGAATGCGACTACGACTGCGAGAACAGCAGAATTCTACAACTGGATTATCATCTGAATCTTAAGGGGAATGCTTCCAAATATGTTCCTACACATCGCTGTTAGGTTGCTTTGCCGGGATAATTGTTCAAGTCAAACTTCGATGTCCGCTCGAAAGCCGAAGGAAAACCAAAGACAAACAGTAAAACAACTGAGGAGCACGGAGCCCCTCCCAGACGAAAAGGGTTCCTTCTTCAGCGCCCCGACTGTAGGCCATCGGCGCCCCTGCTCGCGCCGCGAGCTCTGCGATGGGGGGCGGGACAAGGACACGGACAGCCGTCCAGACCGGGGGCGCCAAGCCTCGCATCCATGCCGTGCCCCCCCTGGCGGCCAGACTGGGGGCAAGATCGGTCAGCGTCGGACCGGAACATCGGATCGGATCGGAACTCGAATCGGACCGCATCGGCACGGAGTCGAAATCGGATCGGATCGTCTGCACAACAACGCCGTGCAAGCGTCGGGCCGTCGGATTGGCGGGACATTGAAACCAAATCGGATCGGACTGGCCGAAACCGATGTCGCATCGGATCGCTCGGATCGAGATGGGCCCCGAATGGGGGGGGGGACGGGGTCTGCATCGAACGTCGATCGCCGAGGAGGCCCCCGATGGGCCGCGCGCCGAAGGCCACGCCGCCGGAGGGCCACTCTTTGCGCGTGGCCGCCCGCCGCCCGCGGCAGGCCCAGCGCCAGCGCCAGGAGCGCCGCGCCCGCGGCCCGGGCGCCACGGAGCGCGCGCGTCATGGGCCGCCGCAAGCGGCGGGGCGCAGCCGGCTCGAGCTGGGCTGACCCCCTCAGCTGCGGGCGCCTCCGAAGAGATCGTGACCCCAAGACGATGCCGATGACGATGATGGCGCCATCGTCATCGTCAAGTATCTTCAGCGCATCGAGAGGACAAGAGGAGAGACGGGCCTCGCCAGAAATGAGCGAACACCCATGCCGCATTCATCTATCGATGGCCCCCCATGATCAAGGCTGGCGGTGGATTTGGCTAGCTGCACTTCGACCGCAGTCTTTCCCGCGCGTGCCAACTTTGAACTTGGGGGGAGGCGGGAAATGTCCACTAAGTGTGTCTCCTTTTACCCGCGTGAGCAAGCACTTTCGGAGGTCCGCGCGGAGTTCTTGGGCCGGCTCTGGGCCCCGCTCCCTGGCAGAGCGTCCGGCGACACCCTTGGCAGACGAGGGCCGTCGCCTCTCGGGGGCGGCGGTGGGGGCGAATAGCCCAGGGGGGAGCAATACACGTGTCGAAGGGCGCCGATGGTCCATGCCTTCGGCGAGGCTCCCCGGCGAATACGTGTGCTGCCCGCCCCTGGGCTATTCGCCCCCATCGTCGCCTCCGGGCCTGAGGCGCCGCCAGGGGCCCCGGGAAGGGGGTCCGCGCCGACCCAAGAAATCCGCGCGGACCTCCGAGAGTCTGTGCTCTGTGCCGTCGTCCGTTCGCCGAAGCACGGGGCGCTCGGCCTGCCCCTTCCTTGGGCGTTCCGGGGGCGATAAGAAGAGGGGGGGGAGAGAGACTTGCACACTTCGTGCCCTCATTGAGGCCCCAAGGGGGCCCTTTGATAAGAGCTCCTTCCTGGCACAAAAACGCGCGCCTCTCTCCCATGCCCCCATCTATCGCCCCCCCCCCCCCAATTACGCAACTTAGATCAACTTAGCATGGGTGAAACGGGTCCTTAGGGAAACGGGTCCTGGACCCTGAGGCCTTCCCCAAGAAAGATTATTCATCCTGAGTCGTTTTCTGACAATCCCGGGGCCCGTGGAGGGCCCCGAGAGCCCGAAAATTGAGCAAAGCATCAGGACCCGTTTCCCACAAGACCCGTTTCCCACATGGCGAGCAACGCTCGACCTCCCTGTCCCGTCTCCCCGCTGGCGCCCGCCACGGCCGCGCTCCTCGGCCCCCGCCCTCCCCGGCAAGGCCTGCAGCGACCCGCCGCGGCCTCCCTCCCCCCCTTCGACGGGCTTCGCGGGTAGTTGCGCTGGGCTTGCAGGGCCGCGGTGGAGGCAGATCGAGCCGAAGCCTGCGCCGTCGCTCGTTGCGCCTGGTGCCCGTGGAGCGGTTCGGGTTTACGGCGGGGGCGTGGAGGTGAGCAGTGAGCGTCTGGCGGCGCTGCTTGGCTGCCCCGCCCCCTCCCTCTTTTGGCAGCACTCGGGGGGGGGGGCTTGCCGCGGCGCTGCGACCGCAAAATGGCCACAGGACGACCTTCAGGTAGTCCCGTGAGCCTGGGATTGCCTCGTGACCCCAAGACGCCCCCAGGATGACCCCGCGACCCTAGACATGGTGGTCCCAGTATGGCCCCAGAATGACCCCGTCGCCCCAAAATGGTTCCCAAGCGAGGCCATGCTTCCCAGACGGTCCCAATCAGACTCTACGACCCCCAAATCACACCAGGACCGCCCCGTCACCCCGAGTTCACTTTCTCATCATTCCAAAACAACCCAATGACCCAACTATGATCCTGAGGGGTGTGCCGAAATGAAGCGGCTCCGCCATGCGGACCCTGGCATTTGAGTCTTAGTTGGAGCTCCCTATGGGGCCACGAGACGTGTGAGGCGTGTGCCGAAATCAGGCGGCGCCGCCACGTGGACCCTGGCATGTGAGCCTTAGTTTGGGCCCCTATGGGCCACCACAAACGTGTGATGGGTGTGCTGGCATGGGGCGGCGCCGCATACGGACCCTGGCATTTGGGCCTCAGCTGGGGCCCCCGATGGGGCCACGAAGCGTGCGATGGGTGTGGGTGTCGCCCACTGGTCGGCGGCCACCCAAGTGTTGGACTTCCTCGATGATCCAACCCTGAGCGGATCCGGTGGAATGACGTCCTGGGCTAGGCGAAAGGAGGAGGAGGAGGAGGAGGAGGAGGAGGAGGAGGAGGAGGAGGAGGGGGAGGAGGAGGAGGAGGAGGAGGAGGAGGAGGAGGAGGAGGAGGAGGAGGAGGAGGAGGAGGAGGAGGAGGAGGAGAGGAGGAGGAGGAGGAGGAGGAGGCTTGGAGGAAGAGGAGGACAGGAGGGAGGAGGAGGAGGAGGAGGAGGAGGAGGAGGAGGAGGAGGAGGAGGAGGAGGAGGAGGAGGAGGAGGAGGAGGAGGAGGAGGAGGGAGGAGGGGTGCTTGCAAACGAGGGGCAGCGGTGAGGGCAATCCGATCGTCCGCGCCGCATTCGCCGAACCCCGACGCCCTGCCCTGGAAGCGCCTGGAGATCTTGGGCCCCGCCCTCTCAGACAACGGCCCCCGGCGCCGGCACCCATTGCTTTCAGTCGTAGATACGTCAGCTGGCGCCGCCGCGAGCTGTACTGGGCAGCTGCGCTACGACAACGGCTGGCTCATAGCGATCCAGGGCCGCTGCTCCGATCAGGACCTCGAGGCGGGCCCTGCGGGGACAGCAAGCGACCACAACCACATCGAGGACACACCCTGGGGGTTGTGGGGTGTGTTTTGCGCATGCCAACAGTCGTCAGAACATCGAAACCCGCTCAATACTGGCTGTGGTCGATGTGGGCGTACCAGACGGGCAAATCGGCCACAACCGCAACCAAAATGTTCATATGTCGAGGTCGGTGGGTCCTCCCCCGAGGTGCCCTCCAGAAAAATCCACTTAGTTGTGGTTGTGGTTCTTTGTTGTGACCAGAGGCCTGGCCGTGGCGAAGAGTGACACCCGGGAGGCTGAAGAAGGTGCAACGAACAAAGCGAGACCCCCTGCACCTCTTCCATCGTCTTCCTTTCTTTAATACGTCTCGCTGGCGCTGCCGCGCCCTGTGCACCGGAACCTAGCACCTATGCTACGACAACGGCTGGAGGAGGAGGAGGAGGAGGAGGAGGAGGAGGAGGAGGAGGAGGAGCGATCTCGGGGCGCTGCTACAAACAGGACTTCAAGGACCACGGCGAAGAGGCCCCCCCGGGGAGGCCGAAGACGGTGCAGCGAACACAGCAAGGCCCCCAACACCTCCTCCGATTCTCTCGTACGTCTGCTGGCACAGTCGTGCGTTGCGCACTGGAACAGAGCACCTGTGCTACGACATCGGCTGGCTCATAGCGATCCCGGGGCACTGCATCGACCAGGACTTCTGGGTGTGCCCAGCCATGGCGAAGAGAATCAAAACAAGGGCGACGACGACGACGAGGCCACCCCTGGCCCAGAGCCGCCCACGGCAACAGCACAGCCGACGTCCCACGGCAACGAAACCGAGACCGGCCGAGACCGAATCTGCAAGGAAGCAGCCGAGAAGGCCGCAACGACGCGGCAACGACGCGGCAAGCGACGAAGACGAACCGACCGAGCGCGGCCGAAAACGATGCAGCTGGACCGGTCCAAGCGCGGACACCCTGGTGGCCCAACTGATCACCAGTTTGTTGACCAGGCGCGCACGGGGCCCCGTCCTGCCATCGTCAGCTTCCCAGCTGGGCGTGCGCGCGCGCGCGGGGGCACCTTTCTCGAGCCGAGCAGCGAGAGCCCGGCACCGCAACTAATACACAGACTATTGGCGACGTCGCCGCCACTTCCAGCGCCGCGGGCGCCGCGCCGTGCTCTGCTCGTTGTGTGCCTCGCCCCTCCCTGCCCTGCTCTCTCGTGCTCCGCGCTCCCTGGTTCCCGCCTCATTCCTCCCCTCCTCTTCCCTCCCCGCTCCCGGGCAATGCCAAGTGGCGGTCACCAGTAGGGCGGTCGCCACTTCCTCGATGAAGCACCCAGATCCCCGAGCCCCCCAAACGATCCCGAACGTCCAGAAACCTCCCAAAACTTACATCCTGGAGTCTCGATCCTCGGCATGAGCTGGTGACCCCCCTAGTGGTGACCCTCCGTTGGCACTGCCTGGCGCTCCTCCCCGATTTGTTCAACCAGAGTGTTTTATCGATTTCGGTGCTCGCGAGCCATTACGAAAATCGAATAGCCTCGGGGGAAGCGGTTGGAACTTCCGGAGCCGCGGATTGGAAAAATCATGCAAATGGATATCAGGGTCGTTCCCCTCCGTCCTCGTCCCTCCTCGCTCTTCGCTCTACCCCCCTGACTCCGAATCCGCCGAACTTTGGTTGATTCATGATCGTCGTTTTCCTCCTCCTCCTCCTTCTCCTCCTCCTTCGTCGGAAATGCACCCCCAAACGATGCGAAACAGTGTGGCGGATCTCCGCCTCAGAGACAAGCAGTGGATAGTTCAGCAAAGCGATGGGGCATGGCGGAGACGGCGACACCAAAGTAGGGCGGAAATCGATATCAAAGGAGCCTGAAAAATAGGGTGTCATTTGCCGCCCTACCTACATACGGAATCGCACAAAGTACGGCGGATCCTGAGTCAGGGCATCCTCGCCCCATCCGGGGCTGACGCAAAACCGACACGCTTGGTGACCGCGTGCGCGGTCCCCTTTGGCCGATGCACCGAATTCTCCGCCTCTCGTGTCGCCGCGGATGCGTGCCGAGAGGGAGTGGCCCTGCTGCGCCTTGGCGGCGCGGGTCGTCGTCGTCGTCGCCGCTGCCGCCGCCTTCGTCGTCGTCGGAGCCTTCGTCGTCGCCGCCGTCGTCCGTCGTTGTCGTCGTCGTCGTCGACGTCGTCGTTGTCGTCGTCTGTCGTCCATCGTCGTCGTCGGTCGTCCATCGTCGTCGTCCCCATGGAGTCACCGCCGTCGGAGTGGGTAGGTGAGAAGAGAGAGAGAGGAAGGCGGGGAGGGCGAGGAGAGGAAAAATAGGAGGCGGAGGAACGGGCTGGCGGAGGAGCTCAAAGGGGGCGAGGGGGGAGAGGCAAGGAAGGAAGACCTCGAATTCCCCGAACACATCCTCGCTTCCGCTAGTCCGTGTAAAT